TGTTGCGGGCTCAATCCCAATAGGGGGCGTGCATGAGGCAATGATTCTCTCCTCATCATGGATGTTTCTCTCTGTCCTCTCCCCTCTCCTCCTCCCTAAAATCAATAAAAATGTAAATCAATAAAAATAAATAATAAATATTATACCATGAAGTAGGAAGGGGAAGTTATTTTGAAAATTCAGAGAAGAGAAATCTTGGTACTATGAGAACATAAATGAACAACTCAGCAGAAGGGTGGTTGAATAGATCTACCAGAAAGTAGAGCCAAATGGAAAGATAGAAAATAGAATCAGAGGACCGGTCCCGGAGGCCCAGCTTTTGCTCAAGAAGAGTTCCAGAGAAAAGAAAACTTTCTAGAGGAAAAAAAAAGAAGAAGAAGGAAGGAAAGAACGAATTCCCAAAACTAAAGGAATGAGTTTACAGCCTGGAAGCCCTATGTTCTTCCCATGGATATGGATGAAAACAGACCCAAACCATGGCACATCATGAAATCTCAAAGTGAACACACAGGCCACAGACAAGGTCTCAAACACCTCCATCCCAGGCCCCCTTCTCAGGGAGCTCCTGAGGCAAGCAAGAGGTAATACAAAGAGAAGGAAGATCCACGAAGCAGACGATCCACCAGCGAAAGAAAGCAAAGGGACCTGCAGGGAGAGGAGGAAGCCTGATGGGGGTAGAGATCAGGCCCAGCAGCACCGAGGCTGGGGCAGAGATGTCTCAGGTGGAACTTGCAGCTGAAGGGATACCTGGACATGCAAACACTCTGGTAGGGAAGTTAGACAATGTATGCGGAGTCTGAGACACAATTAGAACACTCAACAAATTAAGGGGCCAAGGACACACAACGACCAAAACAATCAGCTACAGGAAAACCAACAAGTTATGAGAAAAAGAAAGAGACCTCATCTTCCATGGTGGGAAGTCAACTGATGAGGCCCAGAACTACAAAGTCAAGAAGTAGCAACACACATCATTTAGAGAAACGGGCAATAAATACCAAAAGAGTTACTGAAGGAGCTGAAAGTGATTTGTCCAGGGACAGAAAATGGAAGGAAGACAGAGGAATATACAAACTATATGACTATAGTGAAATGCATTTCGTACATTCGAACAAAGTATACATCTGTAACTTTATTAAAACTGAAACCTTTAAAATTTGGACTATTAATAAAAAGTTCATCAATGTTAACTTTGCCTATAAATTCTACTTTATTATTAGTAACTGCAGCAACAGAAAGAACCAATTAATCACTCCTTTATGGATCAAAAAACTGACTAAACACAAAAGACTAAATAAAATAAATTCAAGACACATGCGAGACAAGCAGCTACTTCTTGAGGCCAGGCATCAGCAAATCAAGCAGCAACACGAAAGAGTTTACGGAACACAATCACAGAAACCACAGTCTGAAACACGGCACTTCAATGATTTGCCTTATTATAGTGTCCAAGCATCTGCTTCCAATTAGTATTATTAAGTGTCGATATGCAGTATTCCTCATTTGAGTTCATTTAAGAAACGCTTTTTAAAAAGCTAGATTCAGTAAGACACAGGAATCATAGTTAATACAACTCAACGGAATCTGTAACTTTAAAACTGTGTTCTCTCAGTTCACAAGGGAACGGTGGAATGGTCAAATCTTCCCTTTGCCATGTTTTTAAAAACTAGGAATAGTGCATTTTCAATGGGTTTGTATAAACAAGTCTTACATAAATGTGATTGTGCTTCAAAGCTGTACAACAGCTCAGGGTATAAGATATGCTAGAAGCTTTGTGCTAAGTAAGGCGAATAAAAGCATTAATACCTTCTTACAGAGAGTTCGCAGCTTGAAAGCAGAAAAATGAATGCAGAGTGTTCACAAACGATTTAAGGAAAAGCCGTTACTGTTCCCCATCACTCCAAGTTTGCTTGCTTGAATCACTGTTACTCATTTGGTACAGTTAATAGGCTTAACGCTCTCTATATGTTTAAAAAGGGAAAATATTCCATTTTCCTGTAAGTCTGCAACAATGATAACATTCTTCACAAAACTGCCTCTCCCATGAGCACGCTAATGAACTCTACAGGTAGGAGTTAGACATGAGAAAAAGGGCGTAAGAGTCAGAACATTTACCTTTTTGTTAAATGCCCAAATTTTGTCCCATTCCATGTTCACAACTGAACGCGAGGAACCCTGGAAAAACAGTAATAAAATGACTTAAAAGACAAGAAGTAATGAAAACATTCCTTTAACTGTAGCTGTGCATGTTAGAAAAAGTAAGCCCAGTATTTGCTTGCAAGTTTATTTCCGCTGGAATATAAACTTATTATGTACAAGCTAATTTGGTTCCTTCAATAGGTAGAGTCAACAGTCACATACTGCACTGGGTAAAAATACTCCAGCTGCTTTTGTCCAACCCCAGCTTAGGAGTGTAGGACATTCTCAGTTTCCCATTCTCAGAGTATAAACAGTACTAAACATACTCTTTTTAAAAAAACATTTGCCCTTGCATTATAAGGCACAAACAAGGAATAGAAAGAACAGAAATAATAAAGACCAAGGAGGTATTAAGAGACACTTGAAAATTCCAGCAGACAATCTGGGAAAGAAACCATCACTCACCTGAGCAGCAATAAACTGCTTCAGTCCTTCAACTGTCATCCCTCTTCTCAGCACACCACGAACCGTGGGAAATCTGGGGTCATCCCTGGGAAACGGACATTTTTCAGCATTAATTAGATTTTTTAATGTGTAGATGCAGAGTACAAAATACCTTAACGAGTAATATTATATTCAGCTTGTTAAATATTTGGACTGAGAGATGGTTGTAATAATTGGGTAGATCACAACCCAGAGCCCGAGTGCATGGAAGAGGAAAGCTGCTCACCAGTCAGCTACTGGAAACAGTACAAGCATATTTGAAGAAAGACACAGGGTGACACCTTCAGATATGGAAAACCCGGGCATTAAACAGTAGGTGCTTTTTACTTCACAAACATTCAAGGTCCCTGCTGTACATATGACCAGGGCCAGACTCTCAAGTACTTTGCTATGAAACGCTGAAGATGTACTCCCATGTGCAGGGGATGTACCCCCATGTGCTTGTCATTCCCACGCACCATGGCCCACAATGTGCTCTATGTTTGCAGCATTGAAACAAAGGAGAAGGGGGACCTGATACACCAGAGCAAATAAAAACAAGGACAGAAACCCCACAGGCCTAGCATTCCACCTCCTCCCATCGTCCTCCCAGCCTCACAGCAGTTAAAAAGTCACTGAGCTACCATGCCCTTGCTCCCCTCCATTCAACAGTAAACATACCATCCATCCACCAGTCCTTCGTCTACAAACCACGTGAGTTTTCTCTTGGACAGCACTGTGTTGTTGAGATTTAGCCGACTATATTCCCAAATGTACGGTTTTCTTATGCCTAACGCTTCAATAATCCAATAAAACTGCTCATCTCGGTCATGGTATTCTGTTGTTCTCAGGGCATGTGTAACTCCTTCAATGCTGTCCACTATAGGGCAGGCAAAATCGTATGTTGGATAAACACTAGGGAAAAACGGAATATTTAACACATCAACAAGAAGCATTTTAGCCTTTCTATCTTAGATTAGGCATTATAAGCAGCAATACTAATTTAAAACATAGTCTTTACAAGTTAGGAAGTTCTTAAAACCCAACATGTTTTATGACTATTAATAATCAAAGTATATCAAAACATTATCAGGTTTTGAGAATAATGAATTGGTTACCTACTCAATATTCAAACAAAAAAGCAAATTTGCAATTTAAAAGACAATCAGGTATTGGCACAGCCAACTATACAACCATATTTCTGTAATGACCAATGCACATCATGGTAGGAAGCAAGATACAATCATTTGGAGGGGAATTTAGCTTTTCAATCTTATTAATCTCACACTCAAGTAAACTACTTTTGTAATAACTGCATTCAAGAAGAGATAAGAGGAAAAAAAATTAGGTAAATTAAAATTCCATTTAAGATTGAATACACCTAAAAGAAATTTCTGCCTAAAAAAATGTACACAGCACATAAGCAGTTTTAATTTGAATTTTAAAAAACGTATTACTGCTCCTGCATTAGGCTTCGTAATTATTTGATACTGAAAATGTGGATGCAAATTCAGTTTTCCAAAAGTATCCAAAACATGTGCTTAGTGAAACAAGGAGCCACACATCAACACCGCCCAAGTTTACTTAAAGTCACACTAGCCAACCAGATAATCATTATATTTACCAATCTCTTCAAGTTAAAAGTCAGTATGAGTATGCAATAGGCTTCTTCAAAGTATAAGAAAACATATTCTATGATTACTTTATGAAGTAATCTAATGGAGGAACCTTTTAAAGAAAAAATTCTATTAACCTGAAAACCCACACAAGAAACTAAATAGAAACTAAAAACACATACTTTCTTTTACTGTTCCTATTTCTGTAAATTTTCAGTTCTGTCACATTCATGAATGAATTTATGCCTAGCAGAATCAAAGTTTAAACTAAGACAAGTATCTTCATCTAAAGATAAATAAAAAATAGATACCACAGTGTATCTAATCAACACATTACAAAGCAACTGCAGGCAGCCTCAGGGACTTCTACAGATACAAGGCATCTTAGAAATGATGTGGAGCCTTAACTGGTAAGTGTTCGCCCGACAGGCTGCCTGCTGTACACAGGCCCAGTTCATCCACGATGAGCAAAGACCAGGAGTCATCACTATTCCATCCTGTACCGACTCCGAGTTCACAGGGAGCATCGGAGCAGGGCCTGGCAGGCGATCACCTTACTTGTATCGATTTCCAGTCCTCGGGTGAGGCTGAATTTTGCAGCGGTACAGTGTCGGGTCCCTCATGCACCCATTGTTACTGTTCATGTCAATTTTTGCTCGCAAACAACAGGACTGACCAAACGGGCTCCCTTTTTTCATTTCTTCCCACATCTGCAGATTCTTCTCAACAGCTACAAAATGAGAGTTATATTAGTTGATCTGGCATATTACTAATTGAGTTGAATTCAAATTTAAGAGTCCTGTAATTTTATATAAGTGTTCATGCTCTGGTTTTATATTATCAGCAGTTTAAAAGTACGATAATAGTTCCAATATCTGGTGCCAAGAGTAAATGCACTGGTTTATTTTTAATGCAGAAGTTTCAAAAGACACTTAGAAAATGCCCTCTATAAACAACTTTTAGAAAAAGTCAATACATTCTACGTGTAGCACTGATGAAGGCTAAGACAAGAAGCATGAGGCCTGGGGGTTTCTCTCCTCCGCATTTCCCATTTTCCATCATGACCCAACGGGCCGGCCCCCCTCCAATTAACCCCGTGCCTTTGAAGTGGAAGCACCCTGTTCCTTTGCCCAGGGACAGCCCGGTCTGGCCCGGTCCATGCGGCCCATCTGGAGAACAGGCTCGGGCTGAGAGCCTGAATCTGGGGGCTCCCTGAAAGCCCCTCTGTCATTCCAGTGGGAAGAAGGACACCCTTGGATCCGAGAAAATGAGAGGATAGAAAACAGATAGCGATACAAGTTTAATCCTAGAAAAAGAATGCTACATCCCAAGTGACTATGGTCTTACCTGTGTCAGAATATCAAAACCTTTTGGATAAAAAGACCCGTTAAAAAATGATTCTCTGTGGAAACTACTGAAATATGGTGGACACATGACCTGCTCCCAAAGGATCAAGTTAGGTCTAAAAGTCCAGTTGGTAACTTAAAAAGAAAAAAGACTTCTGTAACTATTTGACAAAAGACCTCTATAACTATTTGACTTTACTTCCCAAATGTGACATTCAAGATTTAACTATAATAGTGTGGAAGTTCCGGCAACATAATTATAGAATGAATATAGGCCAATTCCGAAGCCCAAGGACAAGTAATAAGAAAGATGTGCATTTTTGTCAAGTGCTATTTCAAAGATTTAGGGCAACACCAAGATTATAGGTTATGTTCACATTTACCCACATGCTGAAAGGAAGGTTTAAAGCATGAATAATATTATCACCAAACACTACAAAGGCTAAGCATTTCAACTGAGGAAAATATAGAAATGCCACAGAAGGAATCACTCCAATAGAATGAAGTGCACAAGGCTGTACGTAGTACGTGAGATGCAAAGGGCACGCGTACCTAACGCGCAATTGTGAGGCTCCCAAAATAACAAGAGAAAGATGACAGAGAAAGAAAAAAGATTGGTGAGAGATGAACTAATATATGAATCATGTTCGCAAATGTGTTTAAACCAGCGTCTTTCACAGAAAAGAAACCACGTTCTACTCAAGGCGCAAAGCACAAGAACATCAATAAAACATCAAACGCTGACTGTGCCTTACAGTTGTTTCTGTGTTTGGATTCTGTCCTCTGCTCTCGTTCGGCTTTCATCCGCTCAGCAGGAGTATCATCCACATACGCCTTCCCTTCCTGAATTAGCTTCTCGGCGTATTTCATTATCGTTTCAAAATGGTCCGAGGTGTAAGTGAACTGGTCTGGTTCGATATGCAACATGGCAACGTCTTCTAGGATAACCTGCAACAGGAACCCCAAGTCACCATCAGTTTATCTCGCACATTTCCTTGTCCATTTTCATTCCTTGACACTGTATTTGGGCAAAATGTAATAACACACCGTCAGCCTTATTTAGCCTGGAAATGGTTGTGCAAGTTGTATTCGGTCGGAAAAGAAAAAGAGAGAGACTCGCTCTACTAGCTTCTGAATGGTCGGCTGAGAAAGTGGCCTCCTGAGGGAGCTTTCCATTTACTCTGGAAAAGCTGGTTACTATTGGCCGTTCTGACAATGACTTGCCCGCTCTGCACACCTTGCAGTGCTTCTGAGTAAAGATGATAGGAGAGGCGAGGAGACCTTCCCATTCCCCAATACGTAGTCGGTGTGTGTTTCAGCCATAAACTTAAAACTATATGACAGAAAGGAAACCTGCCTCTAGTTACCCATTAATTTAAAAAACATATTTATGAGAATAGGTATTTAGGGAAATTCTACAACAATCGAGGAAGAACAAATAAATTGAAGGTTTTGGAATGGGAGCTCAGTATTTATTGGCTTAGGTCTGAGACACAGAATACACAGATGAAGGAAAAAAGCGTCTATGAGAACAAACTTAATTTAGTGTCATGAATGAAGTTTCTATTTAACTCACATACCATGAAGGTATCAGGTCACCATCTAATTTGAAATAACTTTTCTGACAAAGGGTTATCACTACACCTTTAATTACCTTCTCAAAATCTTCCTTTTCTTTTTCAGGATTTGTGTCATCGAATCTCATGATCAGTTTCCCTTTAAAGTTAACCTGGTAGTGCTGGTTGAGAAGAGCAGCTTTGGCATGCCCAATGTGTAAGTAACTAAAACAAAAACATTTCACAGAAACACTCATTAACACGTCTTGACTGAAGAGTTACACTTAACCTTTCTGAGGAGATGAGAACTAAACAAAACTGCTTCTAGTTGGAAAGTACTGGGATAGAAAATGTGACCCTGGCAGGAAGACAGACAGACTACCACACTTATCTTAAGAAATAATCTCATATGCAAAATCTCACCAAGTTATTTACAAAAGGACTTTCATCACTAAGGACTTTCGTCCAGTACTAAGGTCTCACTCTGTAAACCACAGTCTATGCAAACACTACTGCTCCTAAGGGCAGCTGACAATTATAAGATACAAAATGAATCAGAGGCAATGTTGATAATGGTACAAACATCAACACCCTCCTCTATCAATGAACCGGGTGAAAAGAAATGCCTACACTGTTGCTGTTAAAAACATAATCTATCTTCCAGCAAACAGGGCATGAAGCATGGAAGGTTAATCGGCTCTCACTACTTTTTACTAGTTTCAATTGATAAAGATAGCTGCAGTCACACTGTTCTATGGTCACCTAATGTCACACACACCTCTGATCGTAGTTAATATCAACAAGGAAGAAAAAAATACAGCACCCTGAATGTCCCTATACCATTTTTAAAATCAACCCTTTTTAGAAATTCATATAACATTCTAGATCAGTGATTCCATTTTAAGAGTTTATATGCACAGGTTAATGGTAGACAAGTACGATGCAATGCATTTAGGGTTATTCAAAACTTTCTGCATAAAATAAAGGGCTGTAAGCGGTCCCAGATGACATTCTAGAACAGAAAAAGAACATTAGGAAAAAACTGATAAAATTAAAAAAAGATATGGAGTTTAGATGATAATAATGTATCAATACTAGCTCATTAGTTGTGGCAAAGGTACCATAGTGATGTAAGACATTAACATTAGGCGAAAACTTGGGGCAGGGTGTATGGGAACTTTTTGTACTTTTTTTGCAACATTCTGTAAATTTAGAAATATTCTAAAATAAAAAGTTCATTAAAAATAGAGAACTGCATTTCAAGAAACAAACAGAAATACTGAAAGCATTAAACCCATAACATGTTACCCCCCGTTGTTAAGGAAAAAAAGATTAATAATCACTGACTACCTGCTATCTGGCAGTTAATATGTTAGGCATTACACACAGGGATTAATTTAGAAGTGATAAAATCAAACCATTATCTTAAACTTAAAGATATTTCTGACTCTGAAATAATGTGTGCAGTTCTAATAATTCAAACCTCAAGAAAGCTAACAGGACTGTAAAACATTCATTCCCAAGAGACAACCTGTATTAGAACAGCTGAAGAAAATACGACTCATGCTGTGTTAGTACCGATGCTGGATTGGGCTCCTGCCACATGTGACACAGGCATATAATTTTAAGTCATACGGACTCTAGAGCCAGACAGTGCTGGTTTGAGCCGGCAAGTTACTAACCATCGTATGAACCAGCTTCGGAAAGCTTTTGTAAAATGGAGATACTAGCAGTGCCTTTCTCACAGGCTTATTAGGATTAAATAAATTACTATATGTAAAGTGCTCGGTAGCATTTGCACAAAATAGTTATATATCATGTTAGCTAAGAATAAGAATAAAGGGTGAGTCAAGCCTTCTGGCCTTTCATGCAAGACTGAAAGTGATTAAAAAATAATTAGCCCTGCCCTAACCGGTTTGGCTCAGCAGATACAGCATTAGCCTGCGGACTCAAGGGTTCCGGGTTCAATTCCGGTCAAGGGCATGTACCTTGGTTGCGGGCACATCCCCAGTAGGGGGCGTGCAAGAGGTAGCTGATCGATGTTTCTCATCGATGTTTCTAACTCTCTATCCCTCTCCCCTCCTCTCTGTAAAAAAATCAATAAAATATATTTAAATAATAATAATAATAATAATTAGCCCTAAGCCTGCGGACTGAAGGGTCCCAGGTTCGATACCAGTCAAGGGCATGTACCTGGGTTGCGGGCACATCCCCAGTAGGGGGTGTGCAGGAGGCAGCTGATCAATGTTTCTCTCTCATCGATGTTTCTGACTCTCTATCCCTCTCCCTTCCTCTCTGTAAAAAAATCAATAAAATATATTTTTAAAAAAATAATAATTATTATTCTTCAGCAATATAAGAAAATATGATAAAAAAAAGGAAAACCTAAACATTGATTTATATTCCCAAATCCCAAAACTGTATTCAGATAAGACCATGCTCTGACACTGACATACTTTAGAACAAATGAGGAATTCACTACTCCAAGTGAAAGAAAATATAAAGATTCAAAAAGGACAACTGTTCAAATGGCATCGCTATAAACAACTACTCCTAAGAAAGTGGGTTTTATCAAATCACTGAAGTCACTACCCAACAGGACAGCCATGACCTCTCACCCCAGGGACACAGAAGCAGAAAACGGGGTAGACTCATGGGAATTAAACCATGCAAGACAGGTATTATTGGTGACTGATTCCACCCAGTCGACCAATCAATCACTTAATGATTTAGTCTGTCAATTTTCCAGAATCATTATTTCTCTTTCATCTCCTCTACCCACCCATTATTTCACCACCTAAATCAGCAAACTTAGAAAAGCAGACAGAAAACGGGGAATGCTAAAACTGGCTTTGCCGTTAATGGCGCTTATGAAATAGTTTGTGAAGAACTATCAAGAATGGATGGCTAGCCCTAACCAGTTTGGCTCAGTGGATAGAGCGTCGTTCTGCGGACTCAAGGGTCCCAGGTTCGATTCCGGTCAAGGGCATGTACCTTGGTTGCGGGCACATCCCCAGTGTGCAGGAGGCAGCTGATCGATGTTTCTCTCATCGATGTTTCTAACTCTCTATCCCTCTCCCTTCCTCTCTGTAAAAAATCAGTAAAATATATTTAAAAAAAGGAATGGATGGCTAAAAAGCTGTGTATCTGCCACTTTCTATTGTCTACACATTCCATTCGCCACAGATGGGGAAGAATTTGGCTACACAATACAAAACCTGAAATTAAATAAAATTCTTTGGGAGAAAATAATCATGTCATTTAAAAAATGTGTATAATACCTTCCCAACGGCTAAGCTCCGTGGCTACTGCTTTAACAAGAGGCACTGAATCATATTCACATCCGTGAAGGGCTCTGTTATAAAGCCTGTCTCCTGTGCTCCAGGAGGCTGACAGGTGTGCAAAAGCCAAGACTTCCCCAGTCTTGGGTATGCTGGGCACGGCCCGAAGCAGCCCCAGGCTACTGACCTGCAGCCACAAGTCTTTTTCCTAATGAGCTAGCAACCTCTTATTATTGTTTGTGGGCGCCAAGAGAGAAAAGGGTGGGGAAACCTGTTAATAATTTTTAGGACCCCCCCCTCCTTTATTTGGGGAAAAAGTAACTGAAAATAATTCTACCATCACTTCTACTAATGACACAAATGTAAGTCCTTATTAAATGAAAACCTAAAAATCTCAAAATGTAAGTAAAACTGAAGCCTTTCTACTTAAGAGATTTTTCTATCATAATTATAATTCTGTTTGGCGTAAAGCACAAACACTGTTTCTCTCCTGGAATTAATAAACTAAAACTATAAATTTAATACAATAACTGTCAATAATTTAAAAAGGATTAAAATTTTAACTCCCACAATTAAAATCTTATTTTCTTCTATATTAACCTATTAATATTAAAAATATTTTAGAACTAGCTAAAGATTTTCCACTATTGTAATTTTAAGTTTTATTTTCTTACCCACTAGCCTCTGGAGGAAATCTGACAGTAACCTTTCCCATCTCAGCACCTGGGAGCTCAACAAACTTCCCAACATCTGGCTTTTTCTGAGAGGCCTGAAAACAAACAACAAAATAGGTTATATGGTTAAATGTTTAGGAATATATTAATTCAACAAATACCCTCCGCCCCCCGCCCGAAATGACATGAAGGCTCTACAGAAGCCCAGCACTCGATGGTCAGTGGTTCAAAAACTAAAGAGGAGATTTGGGAGGAAGAAAAGATGGTACACCTAAAAGTAATCTGGAGTTTGCAATTCCTGAGGGACACACACTAGATGACCATCATTGTTTAGACCTAGAATTATGTAGGTGGCGGCTGTACGTAGTTAACCAGCTACAGAGGCCAGCCAAGACTTACAATGGCAGATTCGTCCAAGACGACCTTGTTTATTCAGGAAAAGAAAATGAACTATGACTAGGGAGAACTTTCTTTTCAGATGTGGGGTCTCTGACAGACAAAGACGTCAGCATTATACAGTTTAACCAGGCTTACCCCTTTAGCTTTGGTGGCTGAAACATTCCACTTGGTACCCACTGACTGGAAGGCCTGCTGGGCTTCAAGAAAGCCAAACCAGCGCTTTACATGAACCGGAGCTCTGTTCTGCTGCAGCTGCTCCTGCCAGGCCACATTTCCTGTTAGCAAACATAATTTTAACATCACTCAGTAAGTCTGCAACTTCAAAAGCAAAGCTCTAGTCGGGGTTAATTTAAGGAAAGGACATGGCTTAGAGCTGTGATTCTATAATGAATGAAATCAGAATATACGCTGAAATGTTTTCTAAAACTTTAATATACTTTACAGAATTCACAGAATTTAATTAAAAATACTTTTTCAGGCCCTGACCAGTTTTGCTTGGTGATTAGAGCATCAGCCCATGGAATGAAGGGTCATGGGTTCTATTCTGGTCAAGGTCATGTACTGTCCATGCGCATGAGGGAGGCAATCTGTCTGTCTCTCTTTCCCCTCCCCATGCCCACACCTTTCCTAATAGAAAAATTTTTTAATTCAATTCACTGAAATAAATAGTACATTGTGTCCTCACCACTGCCTCACATCCACTGTAAGGCCATTGCTACATTTCATAATTAAGAAAAGCTTTAAGGAAGTAAACTAGAGATCAAAATAAAAATTAAGATCAAACAGCAGCTCATTCCTTCAGATATATTAAAAACAGGTACTGAAGGAAATTTAACTTTAACATCACAGAGTTATATCCTTAAGATATCTTTCATAAACATTAAGTCAAAAATCAATATACACAAAAATGTCATGACAAACCTAGAGATGAAAAGGTCTAACTAGAAAAGGCCTTCAATTTATGTTGGTTATTGTAACAACAATTTGGAGAAAAGTTTAAGCCACAAAAATGAATAGAAAATATTTTTAAAACCCCACATTACCCAAATTTAAAGAATAAAATACTATGGCATATTTCCTTCAGGTTTGTTTTTACAGAAAGTAAATTAACAAAATTCAGGTCCCCTCTGTACTGTTCCTCAATCCCATATCCTTACCTGTTGCAAACTAGTCACAGAAGACGGAAGCCGTGACCTCGGAGAGGTCAGCTCCAGCTCACCCCCTCACTCACACTCCTACTGAGCGATTAGACAACAGTGCCCGGAGCAAAGTAATGGCTGAGACAGGAGAGGTCTAACATCAATGGGATGAGGGCATCTTTAGCAGGAACAAGGCCAACTCCAAAGGCAAGAGGGGGTCTGAGGCAGTGAGAGATGACCCCCGGGGCACAGATAGGGAGCCCTGTACCTGGACAGGGATAAAACAGCTGGGCTGGTCATTTCTTTGTAAGTCCTAAGTATCTGCCAATAGACAGATAAATGGATGTTTATTCAAATACAGAGAAGCACATGTACTTCTTATCCAGCAAAACGTTAAATAATTAAAACACAACATTCTTCAAGGCGAATTACTGATACCTTTCAGGGTGGCCCAAACACATAAGTCAGCTAAGCTCAAGGAGTGTCCAACCAAGTATGTCCTCAGAGACAGGCAATGGTTGAGCTCATTGATGGCAGAAGGGAACAAATTACATGAAGACAATTTTGTGGCACTAAACTCCAACCAGTGATCAATCTGTGAACATAAAAGAAATCCATCCTGGAATTTAGATTTGAATAAAAACAAGCAAACAAACAAACAACCTCAGTCAGAACCATGCCTTTCTTTTAAGTGATAGAATTTACCATTATGTGGATTTAATTCTAATTGCCTGGGATCTAAACTGGCGTGTACAAACACATTTTGTGGTTATTTTTCTGTGCTATTTTTTCTGCAGGACATTAAGGGGCACTTTCAGGGAAGAAAAAGAAAAAGATAGGAGAACTGGCAGCAGGAAAAAATAACCAACTGATTCAACCCAATAGGTGGTAGCCAGATGAAACAGACTCATCCACTTGCAGGGTTTAAAAGTAAACACTTGGAAACTATTCTTTGTATTCTGGATTTTATAAGCATTAGAAAAGTTAGAGCTGAATACAAACAGAAAAAAAAAGGCATTACTGTAATTAATAAGGTATATACTTAGAAAGGAAAATGGGGTCCAACCTACGTGTGTGCCCCTGGGGAAACTTCTTAACTTTAACTTTTCTAGGCCTGTTCCTCATCTGTAAAGTAAGGGGATTGCATAATATGATCAATATGTTCACGTCCAGCTACGGAATACTAGGAATCTAGCAAGAGGAAGAAAGCATTCAATGACCCAACTTTGGGATTAAAAGTTCCCAGTTAGGAGCTAAGTTTTTTTTTCTGAAAATAAAAATGGGCTCAGAATTCCTTAACTTGGTCTATGACTGTCAATATCCTTAAACAGAATAACAGTACATAAGCCAACAAGAAAATGAAGTTCTCAAAAAAGCAGAAGCATAAATCAAAACCAATCACACCCAGATGTTCATTCCGTACCTCAGTATGTTCCATCAGGTTAGAGCCGTAGAGCCGGGCTGTCATTGCCACTCTAGCCAAGTAGCGAAGAATGGAATTTATGTCCGTGAAGACCACATTTCTAGGACATAAGCATGAGGCAAAATATTACTGGTTCTAGCAAATTAGTAAGACTCGTGAGACTTATGAAGAAATAAAAAGATAGAAATCTCCTATTTACCATGTATTTTCTACTACAGCCCAAAAAAAATGTGATTTGTCCTTTACTGTTTCTATCAAATTCCAATTTGTTCTGAAATGTTCAGCTAAATCCAACAACTGACTCCAGAGTAGACTATCTATATGATGCAACCTCCTCCTATTAGTTTCTATATGTCTATTCAGTGGTGCAAATAGGAAAATATAATTGGAATATTGAGAATAACTGGTTTAAAATAAATCAAAGCAACAAAGCCAAGGATATCTTCTTAGAGAAGCTAGTTTTATCAACTTTCAGGTAAAGATAGAAGATCAAACCCCATCAAAATTGTTTTTTAAGAAGTATTTTAAAAGACCCAAAATCATAAAGAAAAAAAGATGAGAAGAGACAATAAAATAATTCTTACTAAATTTATTTATTACCACTGACTTTAAATTCTTACAATCTCCCACCACAGTAAATTATAATTGAATTTAAAATCCTTATATATACTTTCAACAATGATTTTTTTTTAAAAAATAAAATCCATATATATATACATATCTTTCTGTATATTTTTACTTTCTTTCAAACAGATTACAAATATAAGTCTCTAAACAGAGTTCTTTTAGAATGAAGAAAAGCATTCTTCTTTCTAGGGACTATCTACCCATTAGCAAGTAACACAAGCCTACAACATTCAATCCTGAATGTTTTTTAAATGCTGCTGAGTACTGAAAACAAAGCTATAAAAACACTTACTCAGACACACGAAGAATATTCTCTTTCCCTTCTTCCACAAAAATGCTGACGTTGTCTTTCACATGTTCTACCGCCAGCAAAGCACCTAAATAGAACAAGATGAAAAGATTTCTCCACATAAATGCTGTAATTATTAAAACCTGAATCATAAAGCAATAAGGATGACTTAACACACCAACATTAAGTCTCGCAAAGGGTAAGCTTTTTTCCCAGGAGTCTATGAACAGAAAGTACTAGTCTTCTGGTTTTGGAGAAAGAAAAAAAAAATCAGCAACCACTCCCTGGCACAGTCCAACTGCTTTCGAAGATGCTCAGCCTCCAGTTAGGGCAATGATGGCGAACCTTTTGAGCTCAGCGTGTCAGCATTTTGAAAAACCCTAACTTAACTCTGGTGCCGTGTCACATATAGAAATTTTTTGATATTTGCAACCATAGCAAAACAAAGACTTATATTTTTGATATTTATTTTATATATTTAAATGCCATTTAACAAAGAAAAATCAACCAAAAAAATGAGTTCGCGTGTCACCTCTGACACGTGTGTCATAGGTTCGCCATCACTGAGTTAGGGACTTAGCAATTAATCTTTCCCTCCTTCAGGAGGCAAGAAAAAATTGGAATAGTGCTTTATAGAAAAGCTATTGTTAACAGTATTTGAGTGATTACTATGCAGTAGCCACTGTGCTACATGTTTTATAGACTTTAAAATTTTTAATCTTTGCAGCAACCTTAAGAGATAGACACCTTTATCTCCATTTTACAGGAGAGCAAACTGAGGCTTGCAGGAGTCCTAGCCCAAAGTCCTTGACTAAATAGGTGGCTGTTGGTATGTGAATGCAGGTCTCAGGCCGTCCAGAATCCAAAATCTAAAACACGGAAACACGGTGTCCTTTGCCTCTCCACACATATGAAAGTTTACTAAATGGATTCATTAATCCTTTGTCCCTTCATTCTGGCAACCAACCCCATGTGAAAAATAGCATTCCTCCTTCCTCTTGGAAACTGTGGGCGAAGCCAAACAAGGGACTTGCCATGCTCCCACCACTAGCAAGTGGCGGCCAGGATTGGACTGGGGTCCCCAGGAACCAATGTCTTTGTTCTCAACCGTGAGACCACACTGCCCAGTGCTTTTCAGCTCGGGAATCAAACCCATTCCTTTCAGAGCCCACTGATTTGTGTGAGGTTAGCCCAGGGGTGGGCAAACTTTTTGACTCGAGGGCCACAATGGGTTCTTAAACTGGACCGGAGGGCCGGAACAAAAGCATGGATGGAGTGTTTGTGTGAACTAATATAAGTTCAAAGTAAATATCATTACATAAAAGGGTACGGTCTTTTTTTTTTTTTAGTTTTATTCATTTCAAATGGGCCGGATCCGGGCCGGTCCGTAGTTTGCCCACGGCTGGGTTAGCCCATCATTACTGGAACCAATAGGCTAAAACAATAGCATCTTTACAAGGAATGTTTAAAATGGCTTCTCAACTGTGGTTTTTGTTACAGTTACACTCAGACCACCACCAAAGGTGAAAATGTAAGGCATACTTCGTTAGCCCCTTGTGGCCAACTGCATCCAAAGATCTGGCCCAGCCGGCGTGACTCAATGGTTGAGCGTGGAGGAAGCAGGAGGTCCCGGTTAGATCCCGGGTCAGGGCATATGCCAGGGTTGCGGGCTCGATCCCCAGTGGGAGATATGCAGGAGGCAGCCGATCAATGATTCTCTCTCATCGTTGATGTTTCTATCTCTCTCTCCCTCTCCCTTCCTCTCTGAAATCAATAAAAATATATGTATATACTAGAGGCCTAATGCATAAAATTCGTGCAAGAGTAGGCCTTCCTTCCCACAGTACCCAGGACCTGGGCTTCCCTTGGACCACTGGCAGGCACCTGGGACCCAGGCTTCATCCGGAAGGTTGTCCGGAAGGACTTCCGGTCTAATTAGCATACTACCCTTTTATTATTATAAGGTTTTTAAACAGATCTGGGCTTCTCAAACATTAGCAAAGTGCCCATGTGTCTATACCAGTGGTCGGCAAACTCATTAGTCAACAGAGCCAAATATCAACAGTACAACAATTAAAATTTCTTTTGAGAGCCAAATTTTTTAAACTTAAACTATATAGGTAGGTACACTGTTATTAACTTAATTAGGGTACTCCTAAGGCTTAGGAAGAGCCACACTCAAGGGGCCAAAGAGCCGCAGTTTGCCGACCACGGATCTATACTATCTATAGGCATTAACACATACGAGGTCAGCCCTAGCTGGTTTGGATCAGTGGACAGAACATCGGCCTGCGGACTGCAGGGTCCCGGGTTCGATTCTGGTCAAGGACATATGCGGGCTCGATCCCCAATAGGGGATGTGCAGGAGGCAGCTGATCACTGATGCTTCCATCTCTCCCTCCCTCTTTGAAGTCGTTATATATATATACACACACAAATACGAGGTCAATAAGCTAAATTATTTCGTGCAACTTTTCCCAAAGTGATAATTAAAAAAAAAAAAAGCAGAAATTATAAGCTCGCTCGCCACAATAACCTCGGCCACGCTGACAACTGCAGTTCCACCCTGAGCCTAAGGCGCATCGGGAAGATGACAGCTCCTGGCATTCCCTCCGTCCGCAGGGCGCCAAGCCAAGCAGCCCCGCCAGCCCACGCCGTGCGCTGGGGTGCTCGGGCCATGACCCCGGCGCCTCCAATGAGAAACAAAGGCAGCCTCCGTGGAAACTGTAAATGCCGCTGTGACCGTCTGCCTCGGTCCCTTTGCACCCAACGCAGAGGCAAGAAAAGCCAAAGCCGATGGACTGAGGAGCTTTTCTGGAGGAAGCGAGGAAAGGAGAGAGGACAGAGACTCACGGGGGGAAAAGTCTAAAAAAAGGAGGGGGGGATAATGGGGTTTGAAGTTCTGAAATGTTATCCCTACGAGCAGCTCTCGGTTCTCCAGGGAAAACCACTTCCAACAGGGAGGGGAGGGGAGGCGGCCGGAAGCGGTCCCTCCGGCTGAGGGCAGGTCCCGGGCTGAGCCCCGCTGTCCCGGCTCGCCCCGCGCCTCCCTCCGCGCCCCCAGAAAACTGGCGTCAGGAGCAGATGCACCCGCCGGGGGACAGAGGCGAGGGGCGCGGAGCCGACTCCGAGTTCAGGGGTGTTTGTTGGGGGCGGGGGGGGAGGCCTGGCCTCCGGGACTGGGATCCCCACGGCGCAGCCAGGCGCGGCGACCTTCCCGCCCCGCACCCTCCCCGGCTGATGCAACCCGCCCCGGCCCGGGCCGCGGGCCCTTACCCAGAGGAGGGTCCCCCGAATTCACGGTCAGACACAGCGTCGCCATCGCCGTGGGTCTGCGGGTGCACCTGTTCCTGCGCCGGCCTGGCTGCCGAGTCCACCCGGGACGGACGCGCCGAAAGGGAGAAGCCGCAAGGTGTGCGCCGCACGCCTGACGCAGCCGCAGCTCTCGCCCCGCCCCCTGCGCCGTGGCCGCCGGGGCTTGGCGCGCGCTGCTGACGTCATTGCCGCGCGCCCTCTGAGTCCAGCAACCCGTCCCCTCCCCTCCCCCCGCCCCGCCCCCCGCATCTAGGGACCCCAGGGCCTACGTGGCCTTCCTGGTTGCCATGGGAAAGACGCTGCAGCCACGGCGCTTACGACACTTCGTAAAGCACGGAACGCAGGTGGCGAGGCCAAGTTCACCTGAAGTACAACGCGAAATAAACAAATGGTGTTGTTTGTTGTCCTGAGTGTTAGGAACAAAAAAATAGAACATTGAGGACTAGCTGTGGTTACGGGAAATATTAATCATGCTCTGTTGCCATGATTGCCTTGTGCTGGTTAAAGAAAGGGCATTCTTTGCCGGGCTGGTTTGGCGGGGTGGCTGAGCGTTGACCTGTGAACCAGGAGGTCACAGTTCGATTCCTGGTCAGGGCACATGCCTGGGTTGTGGGCTCAGTCCCCAGTGTGGGGCGTGCAGGAGGCAGCCGATCGATGATTCTCTCTCATCATTGATGTTTCTGTCTCTCTCCCTCTCCCTTCCTCTCTGAAATCAATAAAAATATATTTTTTTTAAAAAGGGCATTCTAACCTGGCTGGGGGTTGTCCGATCCTGGGACCAGGGAGTCCCCTTGAACCTAGGAGTCACCCTTGGACCTGGGAGTCAACCTTGGAATGTGGTCCATTCTCATTCAAGAACTGCCTATTATCATAGAAAGATGGAGTCCCACCCCAGCATTGCCTACCTCTCCATGCCTGTAATCCCTACTCCCCCATGTAATCTTGATAAGGCTAAAAGGCTGATTCCAATGTAACCCTGATATTTTTTTTTGGGGGGGGGAGGGGGCGGCTAGCAATCTGAATCTGTGCCAGCAAGCCCTGTGTACATTCTTAATAACCTATAATTAAGTCATTGCCCTTTTCTCCACAAACTGGTCTTGCAAGACCTATTACCTGAATGCTCACCTTTCACAGAGGCCATAAACCATGACACAGCCCCAGAGGGGGGTTATCAGGGCCTGGCGCCAGGACAGGCCCTTAGGAATGGTCTCAAGACCCCCAACACCTGGGGCTTTTTGCAAAGCCCGTGAAAGGTCCGGAAGTCCCATTCCATATTTGGGGGTCAAAGACACCAAAAGGGGATAAAAAAGGGGTTTCCACCATATTGGTTGGTTCAGAATTTGAGAGGCAACCTCCTCTGAGTCCGCCGGTGTAATAAAGCTGTGTAACTCCATTTCTCTAAGTGTTGCTACCAGTTTTTCTCTGGTCTTCTATAACAATCTTTGTCCTATCCTATACATGCAGCTGGCTTACGGGGGACTGCAGGGAAGATTTCTGTGGATGACCTGCTGCTTTCCCATGCTGCTGGCGTTATTGGAATAAATGCTCAGATATGATTCAACCCTGTCTCTGCTGAGCTGGCTCAAGTAGTGACAGGCAACCAGTACCCACTGTGTGTATGTAAGCACAGAACAAGTCCTGGGCGCACACACCAAGCTCACAGCTGTGGTGACACTGTGGATGCAGGAACTTATCTCATGTTTCCTCCATTTTTTGTTCAAAAGGGGAATGTATTTTCAATAGTTCTTTTTGTACTTGAAAGTAATAGTTATAAAGAAAGGATTTACTGGACTGGGTGAAAAAAGTGAAAGGGTTAAGAAGTACAGGATCAGAATGATAGTTACAAAGTAGTCATGGGGATTAAACAGAATAGGGAATATAGTCAATAATATGGTAATAATTATGTATGGTGCCAGTTAGATACTGATATGGAGGATGTATTTTCATGGTTACAAATTGAACATAATTAAAGCATAGTGATTAATCACAAAAACAATATGTAATTATAGATGTGTTTTCTGATGGTCTTAGGCGACCCCTGTGAAAGGGTCGTTTGACCCCCAAAGGGGTCGAGACCCACAGGTTGAGAACTGCTGTTCTAGAATGTACTGAGGAACTTAATGCTGCCCAAGACAAGACCCGCTGTTTCTAAACACGTATTACTATGCACCTAGGAATGCTTTTCCGTACCTCTGTCCACTTTCCTCTCGGGCTCTCCAGTCTGGGGCCCCCCCACCTGACACTCTCATATGTCAAAGGCTGTCCTGTCTCCCATGCTCTTGCTCCCTAGGTCAGATGTCTCCAGTCCATTCAACACTCCTTCAAATGATAGTTTTAATCTATTCCAGCTGCCCTTTTCCGGATACACTCCTGTTAGTCAATGTGCCTTTTAAAATGTGATACTCAGAGCTAAGCAAAATGTTCCGGGTGTGGTGTGATGAGGGCTGAGTGCTGGCAGAAGCACGCTCTTAATGTTGCCCATTACAAGGCCATTAATGCACCACAGTAGCTCTTTACAGCTACAGTAAAGTGTCGACTCACGTCAAGATTGTAAACAACAAGTCCCCAGAGTTCCCCATTCTCCAGTTATCTAATGTAAGACATCGCATGTATTCATTTACCCTTGTCTTGATCCGTACAGGATTTAACAGAACTAATTTTCTCATTTTAAATATCATTGCTAAATTTTAACTTTTGAGATCATTTCTTTCCATCTCTATCACTCAGTGCATCCAAGTCATCTATCATGGTTGATTTTTGAGAGAATGGAATCAAGAAAATGGATGTCATAAATAAAAAATGACTTGTAAAAAGCATGCCAAAAAAAAAAAAATTAGTTCCGAGCTGTGGTACACAAATAGAAACCTGCTTTCAGGAAAGCAAGATATAGCAGTTAGAGTCCTAGTGATAGTGATCTTGTTGGATGCTTTTATTAATTAGCTCCAAGAGTTCTAGTTAGGTTGGATTTTCTGGATAGATCATTTTTTTCCTTCTATCCAATACATTTTTAAAAATATATTTTTAGCCCTAGCTGGGTTGGCTCAGTGGGTAAAGCGTCCGCCTGTGGACTGAAGGGTCCTGGGTTCGATTCCAGTCAAGGGCATATGCCTGGTTGTGGGCTCGATCCCCAGTAGGGCACATGCAGGAGGCAGCCAATCAATGATTCTCTCTCATCATTGATGTTTCTCTCCCACTCCCTTTCTCTCCGATTCAATAAAAACATATTTAAAAAAAATTTTTAAATTGATTTCAGAAAGGGAGAGCGAGAGATGGAAACATCAATGATGAGAGAGAATCATTGATCAGCTGCCTCCTGCATACCTCCTACTGGGGACCAAGTCCAAAACCCGGGCATGGTTCATAGGTGCTCAACCACTGAGCCACACTGGCTGGGCTCTTTCCCATATTTATATCTCTTATATGTCATCTTTTTTTTTTTTTTGTCTAGGGATTCAGTATAATGTTGAATAAGAGGAATGATAATGTTGAACAAGAACATTTTTGTCTAATTCCTGATTTTAGTGGGAATATTGATATTTAAGGGAAGATAAAGAAAAACTGAGAAAGGAAATTGAGAAGGAATTGGTAGAAAAGGGAGGAAAAATATCAGGATGAAGAGAAGAAAATTGCAGGAGGGAGTAACCAAAGATGTCAAAGCCAAGTCCTCTTCAGGCTCGATTACAGATGCTCTCCGTAAAATGATACTATCTTATGGAGGGAGTTCTGAACTTCAATGCCGAGTGAATCCCTGGAGTAATCTTAAACTATTCAGAATCAAAATTGCTGGATGGAGCCTGTGACCACTTTTGCAAAGCTTCCTAGGTTGATTCTGAGATGCAGTTGGGGTTGGGAATGATTAATTTCAGCCACTTGCTTAATCTAATAACAGAACAATTTATTTAAAAGCAGTTAGATGGGCACTAGGCTTACAGGGTTGATCATTTTCTAAGTTTTATAAATGTCACTATGTTGTACACCTGAAACTAATATAAAATTGTCAACTGTAATTTAAATAAAAAATAATAAAAGCACTGGACAGAGACTAGCTAGAATGAAATAATTTATTATAAAGAAGCCATTTTTCCATAAATCTGTTTCATCAACATACATAATAACATTTCAGTATGTTCATAACTGGAAATTTTTAAAAATTACTGTGAAAACAAGAATGAGATTCAGGTAACAACTTGTGCTTCTGTGGCCTAAAAAAATCTGGCTTATACAATAGGAATGTTGATTAAACAACTGACAAGGATCGTCAATTGGAACTAAACTTTTCTTTTACTTCTCCCAATAAAAGGAGGAACAGAAATGTGACAGACAGACTTTACAGAGTCTCCAGATGTTAAAATTGGTCTGGTGGATGAATTAATCACCAAGTTCTTAAAATCTATTTTCTACTCCTAAGTACCTAAAAACAGATCACTGATCAATGCAGAATCAAGTCAAGGGGGAGCTCTGATTACACCCCATTCGTCTTAAACTGTATGACTTTGAGAAGCAAGTCCTCCTCCTAGCTAAGTACATGAAATGTTCCCTTAAAGAATGAGGGCATGTTTTTAGGTTGTCTGTGGTTTATTGATAATATTGCAGCACAGCAGACAGATTCCAATGGCTGCACGTGGTGTCTTGAAATTCATCCCAACGGGAGGCTGATTGACCTGCAGGCTGGACCGACTGCCCAAGTCCGCGAGTGTCAGCATTTCCTCAGTGTCAGGATCAACTTCAAGGACATCCTCATCTAAGGCTGAGACTTCGGGAACGTAGTCCTCTCTCCTCCCTCTCCTCCTGCAGCTGTCCCCCTAGCTAAGGCCACCAGACGTGCCTTAGGGGACCAGTGCGTTTTTAACAGATTCGGGAACGCGGCTGGCGTAGTAGTCATGGTTCCTCAGCGAGGCCAGGACCCCGGCGGAGTTCATGTGCTTCACTTCCTTGTCGTACTGAAGGGCATTGCCATGGACGTCGGTTAACTTGCCTACAGAAAAAACACAGCACGTTAATGGCCGATTCTACCATAATAGTTCATTATTTGTAAGCGCCTCTTGCTTCCCTGTGCAATAATATCCAATTAATTCTGCAGAAGGAAGATAATGGTTAAGTGCTAATAATTCACTTAAAATTTAAGACTACAGAACAATCTTAACTAACTGAAGGATAAAACATTTTTTTTTCTGATTAAAATCATTTCACTTAGCATTTTCTTTTTTTTTAAAATATATTTTATTGATTTCTTACAGAGAGGAAGGGAGAGGGATAGAGAGTTAGAAACATCAAAGAGAGAGAAACATCTATCAGCACCTCCTGCACACCTGCTACTGGGGATG